GCCCGCGGTGGCACGTGTCCTTGCGTGTCCCTGCGCGTCCACTCCCGATGCGCTGGGGCACCCTAATTGTCGTATTTCGACGCTTGGTCACACACGTCAATATTTGACACGTTGGGTGTGAGAATGTGTTGCATAAGCAAGTCTGAAAAGAAAATCAATGACTTTAGTGTTTTCATGACTGCTCTGCAGCCATGAAACATTCTGATCGTGTCTCAGAGGGGCTCCTTACAATAACCCAAAAGCCCCCTGTTTTTATAACATTCAATCCTGACTTATTGGTAGTTTTTCTATTCAATTCCTGAGCTATAAGCACACTTTTACCTTCTGTGACAATAACATTTCCTCCAGAGATTTCATACGTTTCGCATTTTGTTTTCTTTCTTTCTTATTTATATTTGGTTTCCATTTGTTTGTCGAGTTTAAGGCTTTGCCTGAAAATGTGTTGTTTACTATAAAACAAGAAAACCCTTCATTACAACAATTAGGGAGCCGTTTCCTCCATTCTTAATCTGAACAGAACACGATGATGTTAAAAATGCACCTTTAGGTGTCACTCCAGGGTGTTTACAGTTTTTCTTTGTAGAGAAAACATAAAAAACTGCAACTTTTACACTGCAGGAAAGCTCTAGTAAACACATGCATGACCATGTTGTTTACATAGAATTAGTTTACCATTAATCACTGATCAGACATTTAGAGCTTGTGGCCTTGGTAACTCCTGTTGGGTCATCTGATGGACTTTCACACCAGTCCTCCTAAGCCTTTTATAAAGAGTAATATTGTAAACATTAGGAATGTTTTATATCAACCTTTCAAACTGATATCTGATATACCGATATGGCCTAATTCATTATTTCTGATTTCTGATATATGTGAGGTTACCAGCATCGTAAATCAATACTTCTCTTATCTCTTACCCTACATACGCAAATATTAAACATTATCTGTTCAAAATATGCAAACTACTTCAGTGCCAGCTGTGCCAAACAAAAACACATCTCATGAGCTTAACTTTGGAGTTGTTTTGACATTTTGAGTGAGAGGAGAATTTGAAATGTGTGCTTGGCAATAAAAGTGTGATTAAAAGTGCAGAAACCAGTACAGATAATTCCATTTTACTGCTAAACTTGGTTAGGAGTAATGGTAAGCTGATACTAATGGTGAATATTTATACCTCTAACATAGAAACATGCTTCAGAATAGCTAGAATACCCTTTGTTGTTTAGTTTAAGAAATGTGACACAGATTCAGTTTTACATCCAAGATGACGGCTTCTCTAATTAAAACATACAGTATAAGTTATTTATTTTTGTTTTGCACATGAACTAAAATTTCCAGGAGCTTTTCTCTTTGTTTGTTGAATGTTTTTTGCTTCGTTCATGAGCAGAAATGGCCTTCACATGTCTGTATTTAAAGATAAAGAACATCAGGTGAAAACAACACATAAAAGTTCATCATAAAGGCAGTTCTTGGATCGTTACAAGTTCATAATCACCAGGAGGCTGCTGCTGGTGTTTAAGGCAGTCTAAAGTTTTGTTGAGATTTTATAAAAGAACAATAAAACACCACACCATCATAAATCAAAATTCGCCTGTCGCACTTTTATTAATCCTAAATCAGGGTAATCTGGGCTCTGCACAAGGGAGGCTGAATAGAGTGAAAATTGCCTGCTGATAAGAGTAAGAACTGGAAGAAGGATTACAATTCAATTCAAACTGTTCAAATTCATGAAATGTACTCAAGCTAATACTGCGTGCCATTTAGAGATATGTCTGGGGCCATCAGTGGCTCGGCCTGGTTTAACTGAGGTAATTACGGCCTATTTGAAAGCTCATTTCCTGGGGCGTCTGCCAACATGTAAGCACTTTTTTAACACGTCAAAGCAAAGGAAAGGGCAAAGGGATGAGAGGCAGACAGAACCTGTATCGCTGCAAATGAGAAGGTGAGGTTTAGATGAGAAGAGCGCAGCAGGTGGATGCAGAATGGAAGAAAACAGGGAGAGAGAGAGAGAGAGAGAGAGAGAGAGAGAGAGAGAGAGAGAGAGAGAGAGAGAGAGAGAGAGAGAGAGAGAGAGAGAGAGAGAGAGAGAGAGAGAGAGTTCTTTTAACTTTACCAAATAATTTATTGTATTTACAGATCAACAATCATCTTTAACACAGAAACATACCAAAGCCCAACTGTGATCCGAAGCAGGGCCGGCTTTGCCGACAGGCGACACATGCGGCCGCCTGGGGCGCCATCTGATGGATAGGGCGCAGATGGAGAGAGAGTTCCCTTAGGATTCCTAAGGGAACCTCTCTCATCTGCCATACAGAGAACCTGTCCGATCCCCCATAGAGCTCTAAAGTGTCCCGGTTGCCAGTGAGTTCATAAAAAGTGTGTTCAGGTTTTAAGCGAGCTCCCACCATGCCCTTCAAGCTGCGCTCCACGTCAGTCCAGCTCTTTCCAGCATCTTGTTCTTTCTTGTCTTCCAGATTGTCAGTTTTGCTTTTGCAAAAACAAAACTGATCAGCAGCAATGTTCGTTT